TGTGTGTGTGTGTGTGTGTGTGTGTGTGTGTGTGTGTGTGTGTGTGTGTGTGTGTGGTTATCTTATGATGGTAGCTGACTGCCTGAGTTCCCAGTTTTTAATACCATCCTGTTTGTTGGAGCTGTGGACCACAGTTTCAGCATCTCTGGGTGTGAAGCGGATGAGGTCTACTCCATACTTCTTGCTGAACAGATTCTCGACAATAGGTCTGAGAAGGGAGATGACAAATAAAATTACAAAGCGCGTAAATGTTATTGATTTACTGCATCGTTATCATCCCCTACTGGCCACTTACTTTCCCTGTTGGATGTCATATAACGTAATGGAGTCGTCGTCGCTGCTTGATACCGCGTTTTCCCCGTTCGAGCTGTAGTCCACACAGTTGATTCTGCCTGTATGAACATCATCATATTTCCTGGCAACCTTAAAACTCCTCAAAACTTTGTCTGTGATACGCATAGCTTCACGATTTACAAAAACATATACATAAAAAGCGTCAATTGCCGCTTTGGCTCCTTGTTTGATCTAGTTACACCAAAAATGTATTTTTGTTTGGTTAACAAATGCTTCATATTTGTTATTAAGTTTGATTAATGTTGTATTACGGCGTATTTCTTCCACAAATATAAATTTAAATTAAGTTGGCAATACAGGCGTGCATATCGAACCCGACCACGCGACGGTGTGCGGTCGGTTTGTTTTACATGAACACTTGAAGTGGGCGGTATTCAGTTGTCGACGATAGAATCAATCGCTTCAATGAACCGGACAGTAATGGTAAATAAAACGAGCACCACTCCATTGTGGGACAACAGGAAAAACGTCACGTTACCGGAAATGTGAACATTAAAAAAAAAGAAATGTTTAGAATTTAGAATTAAAATAGGACAGTCGATTTGCTTCAACCTGCCGCTCTGTGGCCACACGATCGGGGCATAAATTAGTCATTGAATTACATATTTATGTTATTAGGAAACATATTTATATCTCATTCATTCATATCAAGTGTGTTTGGAGCAGATAAACATCTAAAACAGGATTGAGCCTCATTTGAACGCTCTTAAGTTGAAAGGGTTGGGCAGGATGTGACGTCGTGGTTGTGTTGCAGCCTTATTAGCTTTGCCCACGTTGTACCACGATGAATATTTGTCAAAGGTTAGCGTCGCTAAATGGCCGAGCCTTTGGCCAAAACATTTTTTTCTCGGTCGTCAAATCACAGACAATCAGACAAAAAACGTCTCTCAGTCCGAGTCAGCACACCGATGCTGTCAAGCCGGACTCAGACACCACCTCGACCGGGAAGAAGAAGACCCGACTGAGAGCCATTGACCTTGCCSGGAAGGTCCAGCAGGAGAAGGCGAAGACAGAGGCGGCGCAAAAACCTTCTCCAGGGTCCGGCTTGCGAGGGCCATGTGCGGAGCTGAAACGGTTCAGTATGCAGCTGCAGAACGTSCATCCCAACGTGCTGGCCAAACACCTCCACAAAAGCGTGCTGTACCGGGATAAAGATGTGGTTATCATCAACAAACCGTACGGCATCCCTGTCCAAGGTAAACCGCAAGTAATGAGTGACTCTTTCTTTAGAGCTTACAATTATACTTCTTTAAAAGTATCTTAGTAAGAATCTTTAAAAGCTATTTTTCCCTAAAGTTCACATTTAAAGGGGAAATAATACTGTAATGTATTTGTAATAATGTTAAATAATGGGAGTAAAGGTACAACAAGTAATAAAACTTGTGTTAATTGTTTTTCCTCTTCTAGGTAAAAGAGGATTTTGGGGTAACATTTTACTGATAAGCACATTCAAAAACACACAAACAAAAGTATTTTTGATGCCAAAGTATTATTCTTTCCATTACCCTCTTTGATGATAATGAACTTAATTCTTCGGGTTATGGTTGCATATATTGTCCTGCTGCTGAACCATAAGTAACAACTTCATGAAAAAGCACATGTGCATGTTTTATTAAAAGTCTCAGTGTTTGTCTACACATTTATAGTCTGTCAGTACAGCAAATATCAAGAATAATTGTTTTGTCAGAAACATAACGTAACTTTTGTCTGTTCAGAGACCTCTGGAGTCACATCCATCACGTCTGTGCTTCCTGTTCTTGCAAAAATGATGGATGGGATGAAGATAAAGTCTAACTTTCAACTGCACCCCTGTATTGGTCCGGAAAAAGACTCAACTGGACCGCTCCTGCTGGCCACAAGCAAAGAAAAAGTAGATCTTATACTCAACCTGAGATTAAATAATCAAGTGCAGCATAAATACTGGTGAGATACTGAAAGATTATGTCATTAACAGTGTGCTTTAATTTAATGGAAGCTGTTGGTCTCTAACTGTTAGTCTGTTCCTCCTCAGGGTCATCACAGTTGGTGTTCCTGTCCCGTCTGAGGGGATAATTGATATTCCCATCATAGAAAAAGAGGTCGCAGGCTCTAAAAAACATTTTAAGGTGCTTCTTCTTCTGTGCATCAAATGCTATAACTAATTTATTAATGAAAATTGATTTAATTTGAAATAATTAGTAAAAACATTTTAGCTACAAGTAAACAATATATTATATTCATATTAGGTTTCTTGCACTTGGTAACATAAATTATTGTTCTTTTAAAGGGGACATATGCAAAATCTACTTTTTTAGCCATTAAATGCATTTTGTTGTGTATTTGGAGGGGGTGCGGGGCATGAAGCGCCTCATTTGGTMTTAAAGAGACAGTGTCAAAACGAGTTGCTTTGAGACACGCCTCAGAAAAGGGGTGAAAGCGGTGCTGATCAAATTAAAATAAGGAGGAACTCAGACCAAAGCATTGCAGTTCCACTTTATATAGACCCTAACTGAATGATTTAAATGTGGAAAATAAGGATTTAAAAGCACAACATGTCTCCCTTAATTGTAGTTTTAAGTAAATCACTACCAGTTCACTAGTGGAAGAGGTGGAAAAGTAGTCTTAATGGTTCACATAAAATAAATTCAGAACTTTTGTAACTGCAGATGGCTTTGAGTCCGTGTTTCAAAATGAACGACGCAGGAGACGGTTTGAGCAAAACTCGAGGCCATCGGCAAGCACATCCTGCAGTGAGCTGGTACAGAGTACTGGACAGCACCTATGGCTGCAGCCTCGTCGAGCTCCAGCCTTTAACCAGTAAGACCGTAGAGATCAAGCTGCACGTCAGTTTAACCTGCTTCAGGGAAGTAAGACTTTACTTTCTATTCACAGGAGTGAAGCATCAGCTGAGGGTTCACATGGCTTATGCTGTGGTCTGCCCCATTCTCGGTGATCATAAATATTCCCACTGGACCAAACTGGCACCACAGGTGAAACATGATTACTATGTGCCACAGGAAATAGAATGTGTGTAGACTAGTTTGACTAACCTACTGATGTTTGGCTGTAATTACAAAATGTAGAGAAAGGACATTTTTCTTTTTAACATTTGTGACTTTATGATTCTATAGGCTAAAAAGGCATTCAAGTGCCAGATCCAGTCATTGACTTGATTAGTTTTAAGAACACATAAAATATTTTGCTTTGTCACTTATCAGTTTACCATCAACAAGAGACAGAATTTATTTTTAAATCTTAATTTCTTTACAGGTTGAAGTGTGAAACTGTCCTAGTTGTCAGTCATCCTTAAATGTACATTTATATTCCACAGCAATTACCCAAGGGAGTGCTGAAAAAGCTTGGACTGGAGCAGAGCGAGAGCCGGTKCCTTCCTCTACATCTGCACGAGCGACAGCTAACGCTAGCAGGACTTGAGAACATAGTCGTGTCGTGTCCCCTCCCCAAGTACTTCATGAACACTCTGAGGAAATTACACTTAACTTTTCCAGATGAATAATCTCTGCAATCCAGTGTCTGCAAAGTGTGGGCTTAAGTTGTGAAACATTTGTGAAGATTTMTTTTCATAAATTAAACGAAAAACTAAATATCAGTGTGTGATTATTAGACATAGAAAGCGTTTTGAAGACAACTGATGTGATGGTAGTTTTCATAAGAAACCAGACAAGAATGGTTCCAATGGGATTAAAATTCTGAAGTAAACACTAAAATACTGATAACGTTTCTGTGTTTGACAAAACTCATAATACAAAGACTTTTCCATCTTTATTTCCTCTTTAATATCCTACTATACACACAGACAAATCATTAAGTTGGCAAAAGACTTTGACGGGTGTTCCAATTGCTAATTTTGATTGGGGGGTGGGGGGTTACTGCAGTATAACTTGTTCTTGTAAATAGTTGAGGTTCAAGCCAGTAAAAAAGGCACCTTTTTTTAAGATTTAAACATACATTGTTTAAATTGTAGTCAGAATACAAAAAACAAAAGAACAAAAACTGAATATTCCAAGTAATTATTTTGAATTCCAATTCAACATACTGATGCCTTAAAGAGAAGTAAGACATGAGAGTAAGATGTTAAAAGAACAAATAACTTTGCATCACATTAAGACTTCTACAAAAAAAATCATACTACGTCCGCTCAAAAGCATCAATCAGGACCCAGCAACCTGGCTCAGTCCTGCTCGCCTGCAGGTTCGCAGTCCACAGAGCCGATACCTAACAAAGAAAGTCACTGGAAGTTAATTGTTCAGCAGAGAGAAATCACAATCGTTATATTCTCCTCAGAAGAAAGTTGATTGTTTCAGAAGCTGTCCCACTTTTTATGATGGCTATTAAGTATTGTAGTCAGGATGGGTACTGCATAGTCATTCTGAAGTCCAGTCCTCTGGTTTTAGTTTTCTAGATTGGAGCCAATAATCTCCTGGATCTCTCGGACTACAATGATCCGAGCCAGCGTCACTTCCAGTTGCTGACTTGTGAGGGGCTGAGACGAGTACCACATTGGGCTGTTTGGTGCCACGACAGGCTCTGGAGTCATGTAGTAGACGTCGTTACGACCTTTGACACTTTGGGGACTGGAAAAGAAAGAAAAATGTTTAATGAGGAATAATTCAGTTTTGTGGGACTTGGGTGACTGTCAGCCACTCACCATTTAAAGAGGTAAAAGTCATAAAGTTTAATGGGACAACGAAGGGGACTCTCTGGATCTTCGATCTGCTCTACATACATGTCATCAGACCCTGGAAGAAAAGAAAAATAGCAGGTTAAAATCTAAGTCATACACAAACTTGAGCGTGAGAGCTGGTGAATTGAGCACCTTTTTGTGCACCACTGTGCTGACTTTGTACTTTCAGAAAGCGAATACTGGTTGCCTTATCCTTAGTATTGGTGGGGTTCTTCCTGGTGTGCCTCAAGACCTTGGAGAAGGCTACTTTCATGTGCTGTTCAGGCGTGGTCAGGTGGAAATATCTGAAACATATTTGATCAGATTCAGTTTTTTCTATTTAAAGTTAAGTATCACTACACAAATACAGGTTATCCAGTGGCAGTTACTCACTTAGTGTTGAAATACATAAGAGTTGTAAGCAATGTGGCCGGTGAATGTGCACCAAGTTGTTTACACTCCCACAGCATCTCTTCAGTCACATGACTTGGAATTACATATCCTGAAATAGGGAGGAACTCAAATGTAACTTTTCTATAAAACTATCTGAAATAATTAAAAAAAGAACAGACTGCGTGTTACCTAAAGGATGGATGCTGGGTTTCCAGTCATGCAAGATTTTGTGCAAACTCTCACAAAAACGTGTGTAGTACGGATCAGAGAAAATATCATCCACACGCCCGTTATCAGACAGATACTACAAAATAAAACAAAACTGTTTTAAAGTCAGCCTGTTGGCGATATTCCTCTTAAAGCTTTGGGATGCTAACCTTCTGTATGCACAAGAACACATAATACAGAACATCGGGCGCCAACTCCTCCTCTTCAGACCCTCGTGCCTCCTGAGTCATCAGGGAAAGACCCAAGTTCAGCTCAGCAACAGCACTGGAAATCAAGTCCTCTTGAAAGCGCAGGGGCTGACGACCTGCGCAAAACCAGAGAGGAACGAGTCTCAATAAGAGTTTAAGCTTCGCTTTTTTCCTCTAAAACCCAAAAGGCAACAAAAGAAGAGTGAATACACATTACTGACTTCCAAGGCTTAAAGTAAAATATAAAAGTTTTACTCACGTCCAATTGGTGCAAGTTTTGTTTTTTCCTGCTTGCTTAATTCAATGTTTTTTCGCTTTGCCCAAAGGCGCCACACCTCCAGGCCCTCTTCTGGCTTCAGAGAGATGGGAACTAAAATCTCTGCAGGAGGTTCAGCATCTGCCTCAGTTTCCACTTGGGCCTTAACAAAAGCAAAATTTAAACTTTAAAATGCTGTCTGGCAACTGAGATCAGCAAAAGGAGAAAGTCTGATCACAGAAACAGACCATTGAGACCAGGACATATTATTTCTGGTCAATTATAATATGAACCACTAATATTAAAACTGATAGTTCATACAATGAATATAACTGAGGAGAAAATTGAAAGTCAAGATGAATTAATATCAGCTCTGAGTGCGTCTGTGAATGGAAATATGTTTCTAACCTGCAGATGGAGCTGCTGCTCTTGTCCTTCTGCTTGGTTCTGCTGTTGACTCGGGTCCCATATGTGTACAGACTGTGTGGTGTTGTAAGTCCCTCCAACAGTCTGCACGGCCACAGGGATGTGAATATTCCCATTCATAAACTGAGCGGGCAACAGGGTCTGTACGATTTCTTCCTGTGTCGCAGCGGAGGCCGACTGCACGTCTGCGGACCTTGTTGCAGAACCGGCGGGTAGCTTATCTTTGCCGTTGGTGGTGGTAACCTGCACTGTGCTATATGCATCCTGTGGTATGGCAATGTGAGTTACACCCTGCTGCTGTGGAGTGGAGTACACAGGGATGGTCCAGGTCTCACCTGTGGGYCCGGTGATTGTTCCTGTAGTGCTGTACAGCTGAGCACTGTCAACAGTGAGCAGATCTGGTCGGAGGGACACATAACTTTGCTGCTGGCCTTGAGGGATGGTCAGAACTGTGGCCACCTGTTGGCCTTGTGGCACGGCGTACGAAACAGCGAGGGGTACGTCCACCTTGCGCTTCTTAGCTGGTTGGAGAACAGTTGCAACTGCACCGGGCCTCCTCTCAGCCTCTCTGGGAGACTCCTGTTGCTGGGAAGGAGACATGGCCTCAATGGTCTGGATCTGGATCTGTTGGCCACCTGGTAGTTGAATTTGTTGGCCACTTTGTAACTGAATTTGTTGGCCACTTTGTAGTTGTATCTGTTGGCCACTTTGTAGTTGTATCTGTTGGCCACTTTGTAGTTGTATCTGTTGGCCANTGTTGGCCACTTTGTAGTTGTATCTGTTGGCCACTTTGTAGTTGTATCTGTTGGCCACTTTGTAGTTGTATCTGTTGGCCAGCTTGAAGTTGAATCTGCTGCCCCCCTGGCAGCTGAATATGCTGTGTTCCCTGCAGCTGGATTTGCTCGCCGCTTGACAGCTGGATCTGCTGTCCTCCAGCAACTGCTGCAATCAGCTGAGCTTGAATCTGTGAAGCCATAAGCACAGATATAAATTACAAAAGAGTGTTTCATGAGTGGTATTGATATCGATATCGGACACGGTTCCTGCACCTGTTGTTGTTGTTCCTCTGTGAGCTCTCCTTGCTGCACCAACTGGGCTGTTGAGATTCCCTGCAGGTCCTGCTGAGAGGGGGAGGCCACCTGAAGAACCTGGCCAACCGTTTGACCATGCTGTTCCTGGATCTGAACCTGACACAAAAGGGGAGGGAGTCAGAATTTACTGACTGGGAAATACTGAAACAATTTCAAGGCATTATTTGTTTTCCTGTTGATAGACAGCAATGATGATGTTTTTTAAGCCCAGTAACCCAAACTGTCATTTATTTGAAAAAATAAAATAAATAAAATACACGTAAGTTTGGAAACTTACCTGCACTTGAAGTTGCTGCTCAGATCCGTGATGCACAGACATTTGAGGTGAAATCTCTGTTGAGGTCACCTGCACCTGTTCAAAAAAAACATGTTTATAAGTGAAGTGGGGCAGCAGGATGGCTGAAAACATGATACAAGTAAGAAAATAAAATAAATCTGTTTAAGATTTTAAAGGAAAATGTGTAACTCTTTTTATCATTAACAGAAGAGTTTATGTAGCTTAATTTGCTCAGATTTTAAGGTTTTTAACTGAATAAAAAGCTTGTTTATGAATAAAAAAAAACAAAAACTCTGTGCAAACTAGTATGGATGATATACAAATAAAAACACAGAAAGAAATCTGTGCAAAAAGAAGCCASTGACTGGATGGATGCTGGTATCTGTAAATAAAATCATTTCATTCTMTGATGCTATCATTTTATGAATGAGGTGAATGCCATTCCAAGACAAACTACTAATGTAGTACTGATGACAATGTGGTTGTGTAGTCATATTAATGTAGTTTGAAATAATTTTTTTGCATAAAGTTCAGGGGAAACGTTGAAATATTCTCAGCGGTTATAAAATTAATTATCTGGACAATTTTGCAGCAGAACACCCTTGAGATCATCAATTTGCAGCACCACTAAAGATGTCTTACTGGGCAGGCCAGCTCCAGGAGAGATCCGGCCACCTCTGTGCTGTCTGTGTAGATGCAGTTGGGGCCCTGCTGGTGGTACACCATGGTCGTGGTGGTGGCTGCACCTTCCTGCTGGCTGAACTCCTGCAGCACCTCTGGGCCCTTGGCAAGAGACTCCAGGAACTCCTTCATCTTGTGCTGAGGCACAGTGCGGGCCTTCTGCCGCACATATTCGTCAAAGGAGACCACCCCGCCCTCCTGCTCATTCATCTTCACTGGATCTAAAGAATCACATTATTTTTTTTAAAGTGATCTAACAGCACAAGTCATTTCAAGCTGTTTAATAAACATACTTGTACGGACATTTTAAGTAAACAGACTATTGAAGCAAATCAAAAGCAGCTTTATACGCCGTACTTACTAACAAATACATGCCACATATAAACAAGTTAATTCAAGCTGTACTTAAGGGAGTTYAATTGGAGTTAAACATGCAAACATTCGCATATGTATTTAGTTTTAGGCCAATATGCTGCAATTAACTACTGTTGATTTTGACGTCATATAATATGTATAAKGGAGTCTACGTGTATATCTAGTTTTGCTTATAGTTTTTAATTTAAAACCCTATTAAAATTATATGTTTGTTTACTTCATATTTTGATTGACTAACAGTAGATACATTGCAGCTAGTAGTTAGCATGCTAGCTATACAGTGTTAGCAAGGCGCTAATAAATGGTTGGCTGGATGGCAAATGTTTGTCCTAACTAACATCGCCCAACACGAACACATCAACTACTGCAAGTCATACAAATAAATGACAAAGTTAGCCCCAAAACAAACATCAAAGCAACCCCCCATCCATTTCAGTTTCACGACGCTAGCTAGTCATTGTGCTAAAATGTTAGCTAGCTAACGCGAAGCCTTTTTTGGATCCTGTCATGCTACCTTAAATAAAACGAAATCCTCTCCTTTCCGCCAAGGCACGGTGTTTAAAAGTAAAAAAAAATCCTTAAACGTCTAGCAGCTACCACCAGTACGCCGTGCAGTCCGCTACATAGCGCAAACGTAGAAGAAGCTGTGGAAAAATCCCCCAAAACAACGCAGGGGTTTCACCACGATAAAATATAATAGCGACAGCCCAACAGGCGAAGTCTCTTCTTCTTCTGACGTCCGCCTKGTTTACAGGCTGAACACGGTGAACAAGCGTGTCTCCACCTCTACCCTAAAACTGATTTATTAAATCAAAACCGCCACGAAGTAATCCCATCACCTCGCACTCCTTAGGAGAAAAAAGAAATCAACGACGATCCATGGATAAATGGATCTAAAATGACGGAAGTGCAGGCCCAGAAAACAACTGCTGACTGTGTGCCGCGCGCGGCCATCCTCGAGCCAAAACCACGATACTACAAAATATAAATAAACATAAAGCGGGTCAAAGATAAGCTGCAATTACACATGCTTCACCAGGTTTGCTTATTCCACGCGTGGGGGATAAATATTMAATCATATCAGACATTTTTTATACACTTTAAATCACCAGYCTGTGCCAACTTCACAGTGATGGAAGTGTGCACATAAAAAATTAGTGTCTAGATTTTGCACTATCTAATAAAAACTATCTCTGGTAAATAATGTGTTTAACGATTTCTAAAGCTAACAGCTGAGAAGGGCTCTTATTTAAATTATATGTGTTATGTGTGTTGTACACCAGCAAAAAACTGTCTAAAACTTTTTGAAATTAACATAAACRTCATATGAGATTAGATTCCGTTAAAGTGCTTCCCACGTTGGTTCAAGTGAAGCCCAGTAAACATTTGACTGCATGTGCCTTTAACAGGGTCTTAACTTCCCCAGTCTGCCTTAAAGAGCCAGGCATGTGCCGCTGAGGGCGTCCCCCTGTTCGTGCCACAACAAACTGCTCCYTGCCGCTCTTAAGGTGGACCGGCACAGATGCCTTCTCTGCATAGGCTGAGTCCTCTACAACCTGGATAGGAAAGAGTTAATCCCCCCATCAACAGGCTGTGATTCTGCAGGGGCTCTCTACAACTCATAGTGGTATTTATACTTTATCTTTGTTTTTATGTATTAAAATTAACACATCTATAATAGAAAAAAAAAACTTTGCTTTACACATAACAATAATTGTCAATATCATCTCAGGGTTATAATAGGCTAGGGTTGGAAAAGTGTTCGTGTTTGGTTTTACATTCCACTTAATGTGACTGTGCCATTAGAAGTGATTTGTTTACCTGAAAAACAATTGACAGGTGAGGTGTTCTAATAAAATAAAGGCAGATTGCTTTTCAAAACATTTTTTTTCTTTCACCAAACCCATATGAGATAGGTTGCCTAGAAGGTTAAAAATCTGCTCTTAGATGCTAAAATGGGAAGATGCTAAGTGACCATCTGGTGCAGTAAGAGGACTAAGACGTCAGCTTGAAGGGATATATGTCTGAGTTTGCCTGTAAACTCACTGGGATGTTGGTGCAGCACACGAGAGACTCAAGATGCAGCTCTGAAGATGGACTGCAGCTTTTAACACACTGAATGACTGGCACAGCAGGTAGATATTTGTGTTTTAGCAAGAATTTAAAAGCTATGCTTAAATATACATGCAAAATAATTTTTTCAAAATTATTGCTATGTTTATAAATAACATTGTGCAGCTCCAGGTCTGGTTCATGACAGCTAAACTTTATGAGAATATATTTGGATTTTCAATATTTTCTAACTTGTGTTTTAGTCAAAACTGATCATTATGACGCACATTATATCACATTTAAAAATTACGATATYCCACCCTGACAGCAGCCTCATGTGATCAAAAGCGAACTGATACAAGTTAGTTTATTCTGCAGACCTACTACATTCATGCTTTTCTCAGGTGTGTTTTTTACTAGAATGGATCATCACAATGTTGTGAAACGTGCACACCTTCTGGATTAAATTGGATTAAAAAGGATTAAGTTACTGGATTGTCCGGAAATCTGTGTGACTCTTGATCATGGCTTAACCTTTCAAATCGTTCTACAGTCAGATGTATCCAATGGGTGGCAAAATACTAAGTGTTTGAAGATTTATTTGATGTCAAAGACAAGTTTTAGCTTTTTTTTTATTGTTATTACCTCATCCCATCACTGTGTTAAGTGAACCCTTATAAGTAAAGGTAAAGATTTTTTTGTCATGTTAAGCAACATTATTTTTTGTCCATTTACATTTTCTTCAGTATAAACTCATAAACTACATGGTTTCTGCACAGATCACCGTTTAATCTCTTTTTCTGACTCTTTCTTGCAGATTTTGTGCTTTAAAAAACAGGGGGAAAAATGAGGCGTTCATCTGTTCTGTGTGTCACGTTGATCGCGTCTTTCTGCTCACTTGGAAGCCTTTTTCAAACTCCACATTTACTGGGCATCCCTGACTCATTCAAGACATCTCAAAGCCCGAGCAGAAGTGGTGTAACGAGCGAAGCTGTTTTTGTGGAGGGGAGCGGATATGATGCTGGCGACGTGAAGTCACCACAATGCAACACTGAGAGRGTCATCCTAAAGGAGTCTGGGCGAAAACATTTCAAGTCTGGAATCACATTAAGTACAAGACTAGCACTTAGTGCTCCCTCCTCAGAGGTTCACAACCCAGGAGCTGACTCAGCGAATTCAGATGCAGGAGACACTCACTCCTCTGGGATCTTGGAGGAAACTAGTTTGGATAAAAACCACAGAACAGCTGAGGAACATAAGAGTCATTCATCCACCTTTCTGTCTGGTGAGTAAACTTAGTTTAAAAATTAACACATTATTCCTGGCAGCACGGTGGTTTAGTGGTCTGTACTATTGCTTCACAGCAAGAAGGTTCCGGGTTCAAGTCCCACGTTGGGCCTGGGGTCTTATGGGTAGAGTTTTCAAGTTGTCATGTTCTTTGAATACATTAAACATGATTTGACAGTTTAAAACATTCTCATGCATTATATTGTTTAAGTGCAAAACAAATACAACAGTAGAATTAATTGTTTACTCTTTTTTATTTTTAATTTTTTGCAATTTTTTCCTGTTAAATATCTTGATTTCTTTATGTTGAAATTCAGGATACAAGTATTTTTATTCTAATGACTGTATTTTTACAAAGACAAATTTCATAAAGCTACACAATTTAAAATCAAACTTCCAGACTGTTTTTTTCTCTCTCTTTCAGATGGAGACAAACTCCCAGTCCGAACCAGCTTGTTCACCTTTCTGAGCCACCCCAGCCTGTCAGGACCCAGAGGTCCCTGCGTGCTCGGTGTCGCATCCTGTGCCGTTTTTAACAGCATCAACGGCACCACTCTGCTCTGGGATGACATGAGGCGCACGCTGGCGTTTGCCTGGGAGCTGCATGTGTTTGGATCCGCCGCTCTCTTCGCACTGATGGCCGTCCTGGCAGTTGTAGGAATGGTTGGGGCTCGCACTCTTCCTCATCCCTTCCGCGACGGCCTGACTCTGTCAAACGGCCTCCTGGTTCTGGGTGCTGCTTTGCGTGCCGCTCTCCTTCTCCTCGATCCGTACGGCACCCGTCAGGTCCTTCCCCACGCCACTCTGGCAGCTCTTCATAACGCTCCTCTGCAGCTTCTCCTGTGGACACAGGTTGCCCTCGCTCTAGTCTCTCTCAAAAGGTTCAAATTGATACTTTTCCCTTTAAAGTTGCAGCATATGTGGCTGGTGGGATGGCTCGGTGTCACCCACTGTTCTGCTTTACTTACATCTGATTTATACTCTTCAGCTTTGTCCCCTGCTGTTCCTCTTTTGCTGCAGACGCTCTCCCTCTGCTGGGGCGTCCCTTTTTGCTTGGGGATCCTAACCAAGTCCTTTTCCAATCTCCAACACTGCCCCAGCTCCTTTGTTCCGCAGTGGGTTCCGTCACAGAGGACGGAGAGGCTTGGGAAGCGAGTCGTAGCAGTGTGTGCCTTCCTTGGGGTGTTCTGCTGCAGTCTTCACATGTATAGCCTCCTCTGGCTGTATGGGTTACTGGGGAACTGGAGGCGCTTCGGCTGGGGCTGGTGGCTCACTCAGTTCTGGGCCAGAATACTTGAGTTAGCGTGGGGGTTCTCCATGCTATTTCTGGGATCGTGGATCTTCTGGACACCATCAAAAGGCCGTGCGAAAGGCGGTCCATGTCAGGGTAGAAATGAGGTTTGTAAAAGGGTAGAGAAGAAAAGCTTGTGGCAGAAGATCTTGGCTGGCGTGCAGAAAGGCCGGCTGAGAAAATCAGAGAGGTCTTGGGAAGATTTAATGCCAAATAACTGGGCAAAGTTGGACCCGTCTCGAGCAGGGATCAGTAGCAGTCCAACGTATGACGGTGAAGCAAGTACCATTAAATCAGACTACAGTTCTGATCCTGTTAGCTGCAGCTCAGACTCTCAGACTGCATTCCTGTGGCAAAAAGTTGGTGAGCGAGAATGTGTCCTCTCGCTGATAGAGTATGACATGCGGCCATCGTCTCCCATTAACCTCAGGCGCACCACTGATAATCTTTATCATGGACAGCTTGTAGCAGGAAGCATGTTCACTCCTCCACCTCCATCCTGGACGCAGACTACAGGCGCAGGTGGTGGCAGCGGCCCGACTGCGTTCCCTCCAGCTTATGTCGGCTACAGGTGGATGATGGATACAGAGTCTATATCTGCATCTCTAGATCACTTCCAGGCTAAAGAGCCCGCACAGTCYCCTGATTGTAATGGCAGCATTGGGTCTCCGGCTGCTGGGCTGAAGGAAGAGGCGTTCTCAGCAGTTATGCATCAACCCGACTGGTCTGACGATGACATCACAGACCTCTGAGGTCTCCACTTCCACAAAAACCATTCAAGATGGATTATGATGAATCAGTTTGAATTGTGAGGGTCTAATTTCAACTTAAGAGAAATTTTATTTCAGTACTTAAGCCAGGAGCCAACACATTAGTCATTAAAACACAACAAATTTTAAGGATATTATATTATGTGTATTTGTAGGAAATTATTTCACTTTTACTGGTTCCTCAGAAGTCTTTTTTAAATTTATTTTCATTTTATGAGTTTTAGCACACGTTGTTTCACATAAAAAAGTTAGAGCAAATGGCAGGAGTTTATTTTTTGGATWATATGAAATTTTCATGTTTGTTTTGTATATGCCAGTGTTGTTTATGAGGCTAAAAAAATACAATTTTCATCAATTTTCGCACCAGCTGGAATAAATGATTTAATGTTTTTATTATTTGCAAATAAAGATACTTTATATAAATCTTATATATTTCCTGTGACTGGTTTTTCCCTTAAATTCAATCTGTCTTGCATTTTTGCAAATGAGCCTGGACTGTAAATGCCAAACAACAAAACAAACAAACAAACAAACAAACAACAAACAAAAAATTACCCTATTAGATGTAAAAAAAAGGAAAGAAAGAGAGAGAGAGAGAGAGAGAGAGAGAGAGAGAGAGAGAGAG